CCGCCCGGGCAATGAAGGAGTGGCTTCGTAAGAAGCATTTTAAGGTCCTGGAGTGGCCTAGCCAGTCTCCAGATCTCAACCCCATAGAAAATCTTTGGAGGGAGTTGAAAGTCCGTGTTGCCCAGCGACAGCCCCAAAACATCACTGCTCTAGAGGAGATCTGCATGGAGGAATGGGCCAAAATACCAGCAACAGTGTGTGAAAAACTTGTGAAGACTTACAGAAAACGTTTGACCTGTGTCATTGCCAACAAAGGGTATATAACAAAGTATTGAGAAAGTTTTGTTATTGACCAAATACTTATTTTCCACCATCATTTGCAAATAAATTCATTAAAAATCCTACAATGTGATTTTCTGGATTTTGTTTTCTAAATTTGTCTGTCATAGTTGACGTGTACCTATGATGAAAATTACAGGCCTTTCTCATCTTTTTAAGTGGGAGAACTTGCACAATTGGTGGCTGACTAAATACTTTTTTTCCCCACTGTACTTTTGTACCTGTTTCCTCCAGCATCTTCACAAGGTCCTTTGCTGTTGTTCTGGGATTGATTTGCACTTTTCGCACCAAAGTATGTTCATCTCTAGGAGACAGAACGCGTCTCCTTCCTGAGCGGTATGACGGCTGCGTGGTCCCATGGTGTTTATACTTGCGTACTATTGTTTGTACAGATGAACGTGGTATCTTCAGGCATTTGGAAATTGCTCCCAAGGATGCACCAGACTAGTGGAGGTCTACAATATTTTTTCTGCGGTCTTGGCTGATTTCTTTTGATTTTCCCATGATGTCAAGCAAAGAGGCACTGAGTTTGAAGAAAGGCCTTGAAATACATCCACAGGTACACTTCCGATTGACTCAAATTATGTCAATTAGCCTATCAGAAGCTTCTAAAGCAATGACATAATTTCCAAGCTGTTTAAAGGCACAGTCAACTTAGTGTATGTAAACTTCTGACCCACTGGAATTGTGATACAGTGAATTATAAGTTAAATAATCTGTCTGTAAACAATTGTTGGAAAAATTACTTGTGTCATGCACAAAGTAGATGTCCTAACCGACTTGCCAAAACTATAGTTTGTTAACAAGAAATTTGTGGAGTGGTTGAAAAACAAATTTTAATGTCTCCAACCTAAGTGTATGTTAACTTCCGACTTCAACTGTACAGTGCATTCGGAAAGTATTCAGATCCCTTCCATTTTTCCACATTTTGTTACTTTACAGCCATATTCTAAAATTGATTAAATTATTTTTTCCCCTCATCAATCTACACACAATACCCCATAATGACAAAGTGAAAACAGGTTTTTAGAAATGTTTGCAAATGTATTACAAGTAAAAAACAGAAATACCTTATTTACATAAGTATTCAGACCCTTTGCTATGAGTTTCGAAATTGAGCTCAGGTGCATCCGGTTTCCATTGATTATCCTTGAGATGTTGAAATGCCAAGAGTGTGCAAAGCTGTCATCAAGGCAAAGGGTGGCAATTTGAAGAATCTCAAATATAAAATGTATTTTGATTCATTTAACACTTATTTGGTTACTACATGATTCTATATGTGTTATTTCATAGTTTTGATGTCTTCACTATTATTCTACAATGTACAGTGAGAGAAAAAAGTATTTGATCCCCTGCTGATTTTGTACGTTTGCCCACTGACAAAGACATGATCAGTCTATAATTTTAATGGTAGGTTTATTTGAACAGTGAGAGACAGAATAACAACAACAAATAAATCCAGAAAAACGCATGTAAAAAATGTCATAAATTGAGTAGCATTTTAATGAGGGAAATAAGTATTTGACCCCTCTGCAAAACATGACTTTGTACTTGGTGGCAAAACCCTTGTTGGCAATCACAGAGGTCAGACTTTTCTTGTAGTTGGCCACCAGGTTTGCACACATCTCAGGAGGGATTTTGTCCCTCTCCTCTTTGCAGATCTTCTCCAAGTCATTGCGGTTTCGAGGCTGACGTTTGGCAACTCGAACCTTCAGCTCCCTCCACAGATTTTCTATGGGATTAGGGTCTGGAGATTGGCTAGGCCGCTCCAGGACCTTAATGTGCTTCTTCTTGAGCCACTCCTTTGTTGCCTTGGCCATGTGTTTTGGGTAATTGTCATGCTGGAATACCCATCCTCTACCCATTTTCAATGCCCTGGCTGAGGAAAGGAGGTTCTCACCCAAAATTTGACGGTACATGGCCCCGTACATCGTCCCATTGATGCGGTGAAGTTGTCCTGTTCCCTTAGCAGAAAAACACCTCCAAAGCATAATGTTTCCACCTCCATGTTTGACGGTGGTGATGTTGTTCTTGGGGTCATAGGCAGCATTCCTCCTCCTCCAAACACGGCGAGTTGAGTTGATGCCAAAGAGCTCGATTTTGGTCTCATCTGACCACAACACTTTCACCCAGTTCTCCTCTGAATCATTCAGATGTTCATTGGCAAACTTCAGACGGGCCTGTATATGTGCTTTCTTGAGCAGGGGGACATTTCAGTCCTTCACGGCGTAGTTTGTTACCAATTGTTTTCTTGGTGACTATGGTCCCAGCTGCCTTGAGATCATTGACAAGATCCTCCCATGTTGTTCTGGGCTGATTCCTCCCCATTCTCATGATCATTGCAACTCCACGAGGTGAGATCTTGCATGGTTTAGGTCTACAATCTTGTCCCTGACATCCTTGGAGAGCACTTTGGTCTTGGCCATGGTGGAGAGTTTGGAATCTGATTGATTGATTGCTTCTGTGGACAGGTGTCTTTTATACAGGTAACATACTAAGATTAAGAGCACTCCCTTTAAGAGTGTGCTCCTAATCTCAGCTTGTTACCTGTATAAAAGACACCTGGGAGCTAGAAATCTTTCTGATTGAGAGGGGGTCAAATACTTATTTCCCTCATTAAAATGCAAATAAATTTATAACATTTTTGACATGCGTTTTTCTCGAAATAAACCTACCATAAAAATTATAGACTGATCATTTCTTTGTCAGTGGGCAAACGTACAAAATCAGCAGGGGATCAAATACTTTTTTCCCACACCGTAGAAAATTGTAAAAATAAAGAAAAACCCTTGAATGAGCAATCAGGGGAGAAGGGCCAAGAACCCAAATGTCACTTTGACAGAGCTCTAGAGTTCCTCTGCGGAAATGTGAGAACCTTCCAGAAGAACAAGCATCTCTGCAGCACTCCACCAATCAGGCCTTTATGGTAGAGTGGCCAGACGGAAGCCACTCCTCAGTAAAAGGCACATGACAGCCCGCTTGGAGTTTGCCAAAAGCCACCTAATGACTCCCAGACCATGAGAAACAAGATTCACTGGTCTGATGAAACCAATATTTAACTCTTTGGCCTGAATGCCTCACGTCTGGAGGAAACCTGGTACCATCCCTACGGTGAAGTATGGTGGTGGCAGCATCATGCTGTGGGGATGTTTTTCAGTGGCAGGGACTGGGAGACTAGTCAGGATCGAGGCAAAAATGAGCGGAGCAAAGTACAGCGAGATCCTTGATGAAAACCTGCTCCAGAGCGCTCAGGACCTCAGACTGGGGTGAAGGTTCACCTTCCAACAGGAAAACGACCCTAAGCACACAGCCAAGACAATGCAGGAGTGGCTTCGGGACAAGTCTCTGAATGTCCTTGAGTGGCCCAGCCAGAGCCCGGACTTGAACCTGATCGAACATTTCTGGAGGGACCTGAAAATAGCTGTGCAGCAACGCTCCCCATTCAACTTGACAGAGCTTGAGTGGCTCTGCAGAGAAGAATGGGAAAAACTCCCCAAATACAGGTGTGCCAAGTTTGTAGCATCATACCCAAGAAGACTCAAGGCTGTAATCGCTGCCAAAGGTGCTTCAACAAAGTACTGAGTAAAGGGTCTGAATACTAATGTAAATGTCATATTTCAGTGTTTTATTTTCAATATATTTGCAAAAAAAAATGTTTTACCTGTTTTTGATTTGTCATTATGGAGTATTGTGTGTAGATTGGTAAGTAAAAAAAAAACTATTTAATCAGTTTTGGAATAAGTCTGTAACCTAGCAATGTGGAAAAAGTCAAGGGGTCTGAATACTTTCCGAAGGGCCTGTATATAAGGTCCCACAGTTGACAGTGCATGTCAGAGCAAAAACCAAGCCATGAGGTCGAAGGAACTGTCCGTAGAGCTCTGAGACATGATTGTGTCGAGGCACAGATCTTGGGAAGGGTGCCACAAAATGTCTGCAGCATTGAACGTCCCCAAGAACACATGGAAGAAGTTTGGAACCACCAAGACACTTCCTAGAGCTGGCCGTCCGGCCAAACTGAGCAATCAGGGGAGAAGGGCCTTGGTCAGGGAGGTGACTAAGAACCCGATGGTCCCTCTGACAGAGCTCCAGAGTTGCTCTCCGGAGATGGGAGAACCTTCCAGAAGGACAACCATCACTGCAGCACTCCACCAATCAGGCCTTTATGGTAGAGTGGCCAGATAGAAGCCACTCCTCAGTAAAAGGCACATGGAGGTGCTTGGATTTTCCTATTTATTTCCTTTTATTTTTCTTTCTGCATTTTTGGAATGTTCCCATAATCAAGCATTTCACTGTTAGTCTACACCATGTTGTTTACAAAACATGTGACAAATACAATTTGATTTGTCTTGGGTCCCACTTTAGGACAGGACAGACAACACATAAATATCTTAAAATAAATAGCCTAGTTTCAATGCTTGTTTAAACTCAGTTTCCGACATTAAATGGCCTATAACCATGGTCATGGAATGGTATCCCTGTAAGAATAAAAGTAGACAGGGTGGTACTTGGCTTGAATGGAGAAAGCATTGGGAGACATTTCTTGCATAGTTTTGGAACCAGTCAGCTAACGCACACGTCAGATCTCTTTCGCATATAAAATAGGAGAGGGGGACACAAGAGAACCCAGTCAGCAGGTAGTTCACATTGCACACTCCGTGTTTAAACGTCTGGAATGATACATCAAAATTAGCCTTTTTCTTTACTAAGATCGTAAGAATACTATGTCAATAGACATGAAGATTTTAGCGCTTTCCTTTGTTGTTTTCCTCTATGGGAGTTTAAATTTGGTAAGAAAACATAATAATTCATTAATTCATTATCATTCATAGCTTACAAGAATATGCGTGATTGATTGCCAATGGTGGGTGATGCTTGATGGTGATTAAGATCCTCACTCCATCCTACAGTCTAATATTTTTAGGAGAAATCACATAAATTAAGTGAACATTTATCTTATAACATGTTTTTGTTATTTTAGGCATCAGCATCTTGTCCCTCCGAATGTTCGTGTCCTCGTGAGGTAGGCCTACCCAGGTGCGTGCCAGGAATCAGCTTTGTGCCAGACGGCTGTGGATGCTGCAAAGTTTGCGTGCGGCAGCTCAATGAAGACTGCAGCAAGACAGAGCCATGCGACCACACCAAGGGACTGGAGTGCAACCTTGGGGCTGCTTATGGCACAGCTAAAGGCATCTGTCGAGGTATGATAAAGTTGTATAGGAAACAATAATTCTGATACTCTGCTGTGGGCATTGATAGTCTATAACTTCTACAAATCTAGCTCCTATGGGTTTGGATGTAGAGATGTAGGTTTTTAACTAGTTTATTACAACGTTTTAAATGAGGAATTATGCTTTTGGTTTATTTACGGCGCATTATCTATAATTAGAATATTACACTTGACTAGGGTTGCAAAGCTACCGGTAATTTACCAAAGGTAGCGAATCTTCATTAATGCTGGTAATTAACAGGTAATAACTTTTGTAATTTATACTCGAATAACTTTTTTTTAAATGTAGTCATATATAGTATTCATTTTTATATCTGTGTCCATATTGTCCATGTTTCTAGTGGAAAGACCATATGGTTCAAGAGGAAATAGCCTAATTAATGAAAAAAGCATCTAATCAACAATGGCATTATTTTCATTTAACTTTGCAACTCTTCCAACTATTGACTTTTTTCACAACTGCCACAAGTTTAGCGCCAAACCATTTACAACAAAGACATAGTAAAATAAAAAAAATTGTGTACAAATAATAGTTCATGCTGAAACCCTCATTAAACACCAATGGTATTCATTAAGCTGATGGTTTATATTTAGGATAATGTTTTACAGCTTTGTCATTATATTTTCCATTTTAAAATCTTATTTGATTATTTTATATATTATACATGTAATAAGGCTACACAGAGGGCCAGAGATAATTACAGACACCTGTGATTATCTGAAGTACCCAAAAAGGCCACTAGATCTCATCTGATAAAATTCCCCAAAATATTTGAAAGTTACCAAAATTCTGGTAGTTATTTTACTGGTAAACTTAGAAAGTTTCCAGTAATATACCCTGCCTTTGCAACCATACACTTGACTCACATAGTAACAGTCTCCCCACCTGCTTCTCCAAACAGCCAAAACAGATGGAAGACCCTGCGAGTACAACAGCAAGATCTACCAGAATGGAGAGAGCTTCCTTTCCAACTGCAAGCACCAGTGTACGTGCATGGATGGTGCTGTGGGGTGTATTCCCCTGTGCCCCCAGCAGCTCTCCCTGACCAAACTGGGCTGTGCCAAACCCAAGCTGGTCAAAGTGCCTGGTCACTACTGTGAGGAGCTAGTCTGCCTTGAGGAGGGGAAAGTGTTGGGCTCAGCCTCAGCAGACAAGTTCAGAAAAGATGGCCGCAAGGATAAACATTCCGAAGATGACCTCACAAACAAGAACGAGCTGGTGTCTGTCATCAGAGGAAGACTCAAGTCTTTACCTGGTGAGTCAATTGAACTCTGTTTAACCAGTGATTCGGTTAGTGGATTTATTGAGCTCCAATAATGTTCAGCGTCAGTATACATCCAGAAGGAGTTTAAATGGTAAATCCATCTATCAACCATCTGGATGTATCATCCAGGGCCGTAGCCAGAAATTCGTTGGATGGGCCAAGTAGTATTTTTGTAATAATAACGTATCATTGTTTTGCTTTTGCTCAATCTGATTGGGTGGGCCTGGCTCTCCAGTGGGTGGGCCTGTGTCCACCCAGGCCCACCCATGCCTACGCCTCTGGTATCATCTCACATTAGATTTAAACCAGTGGAGGATGCTGAGGAGAGGACGGCTCATAAAAATGGCTGGAACGGAGCGAATGGAATGGCATCAAACCATGTGTTTGATGTATTTGATACCATTAAATTAATTCCGTTCCAGCCATTACCACGAGCCCGTCCTCCCCAATTAAAGATGCCACCAACCTCATGTGATTTAAACTCATGTCCAATTTGCTTGAAGTTTTGTGGGACCTGGCCTCCATTGCACATTGACTAATTGTCTTGCCATCTTTTCCCCACAGCTTTCAGAAGTAAGCCTGAAAGTCGCCTGATGTCCAAGGGGAACAAGAGGTGTGTGACACAGACCACAGCCTGGTCCCCCTGCTCTCAGTCCTGTAGCACAGGAGTATCCACCAGGCTCACCAACAACAACAGCCAGTGCAAGCTGGTGAAGGAGACTCGTCTCTGTGAGGTCCGCCTTGATCCCAGTCAGCCTACTCCAGCCTCAAGGTACGCATCAAATCAAACTGACAATGCCATCCTATTACCGGGATGACGCTGAATCATAAGGACATGCATGTCTAGTCCATCAACATTCTGGTCTCCCATTGTTCTTGTTCTCCTCTCACCATCAGAAGGTTAAGAAGGGTAAGAAGTGGAGTCGTATTGAAAAGGCCAGCCCTCCATTGAAACTGACCTACGCAGACTGCAGCAGTGTGAAGAAGTTCCGTCCCAGGTACTGTGATTCCTGTCTGGACGGGCGCTGCTGCACCCCTCGGCAGACCCAGACTATGGCGGTCTGCTTCGAGGACGGAGACACCTTCAGCAAGAATGTCATAGTCCTGTTCATGTGACTTTAACTGTTCCCATAGCAACGAGAGGTCCTCTGGGTTCAGAGTCCAGAGACTGAGGGGAAGGGAAGGTTGAGGGAATAAAAGTGTGGGACTCAATGTAAACTAGGATTACAAAGATGTGCACCGTTATGCTGGAGACATTTATTCCGATGATTTTTTTATGAATTGCTTCGTAATATTGGAGTGTTATTGGTTGCTTCGATATGGAGCGTTATGTTTAAATATTTCAGTTTATTGACAACTTATGTTTTGTTTATTCAAAACAAAAGTTTTGTATGCATGCCTATGTTTTTGTGTATCTATATACTTTTTTTTACAGTCAATATGAAAACATTGAAAAGACAGTGTAGCCATCTTCTTTGTGGCATTTACTAAAATGATTCATTCAGAATATGTAAAATATAAATAAGTGCCATTGTTTTGAATATCACAATATTATTTGTAATATTTATCAATAAATTATTTAAGTTCTATTAAGATATAATAGGCCATAATGGAAAATGATATTTGAGCATTTGTTTTTTATGTGTGCTATTAATAAAATATATGTATTTATGGAACCTGATGCTCTGTCGTGAATTAATAGATATCACAGAATCAAAGGGGTTTAGTGTTTGGTATCCCATTGGACAGTAGCTCTAACTTAGTTTTATTGGCAGTGCTTTCCCTAGTTTAATCTATCCATAGTTATTTTAGAGTATGGTTCCCAATAGCTTGTCCGACTCCATACTTAGGCAAGGGATACCTGCCCTGCTGTGTTTCTGGCTGACCCACTTCTGAGGGGATCTAGATTTGAATGGATGGATCAAATGTGTACATTTCTATCATCTAGTAGTTCATTGTATTGGTAAATCACATAGTACCATCTAATCCAGCTCCTACATTACACTCAGTCCCCACAAACATCAAACCCTCATAAAACCTCTAAATACATCCAGAACTGACATCAAGTCTATTTTCATACTGCAGGTGTCTATAAACAGATATGTGGGTCATGATCCAACTGCTGAGAGACTGGTAGGCACATAAGGTGAGGGAGTGCCAAACCTGATGTGCCGTGTGTGTGTGTACAATACTTTCCCTTCTGCCCAACATGTCAGGCATCAGCATGAAAGCGAGAATATCTTCCAGTAAATAGATGAGTGTATGAGACAGTGTGTGTGTGTGTGAATGAGAGATGCATACACCCAATCATGACTGCCAGTATTAAATATACAAGTTCTGACTTGGACCAGGGGGGGAAATTAGGGCATTGACGCACACAGAAGTGAAATCCATCCATCTTGTGTCTGAGGAGTACAATGGAGCTTTGTCTGTGAACACTTGAGGTGTGATGCCTGCTTTGGGGAAGAGGTCCACATCTGAGCTTTGCAGAATCCCATACTCCTCCTTGGACTGCCTCCAAGGTCTATTCCAAGTTAATGTCTATTGATCCTAACAGGTCATTAATTAGCTTAAGAGCCGACTCGTGAGGATTTGGTCAATTTCATTTCAATCAATTCAAAAAGAAAAATAGGAAATTCCAATATCAGTTATTTCCTAAATTGAAATGGAACTGACCCCAACCCTGTGAGGCAGAGAACTTGACTGACATTAGTAGCCTCTACCCTATACCCTAGGGTTTGATGAGTTTACATAATATCAACTCACCGCCAGACAAATGCAGGCAGGATTATGACTCAACCAATACTTAACAACAGTCCCATAATCATGACATAACCAAATGGTGGCCCAGTACACTAGGTATTCTGGACAACTAATCAATTGCAGTTTTTTTTCTCTTCATGGTCAAGGCAGTCAAGGCGTAAGCATTGAGGTGTTTCCTATACTCACTACAAAACGTTCTCTTCTGTGAATGCTGTAAAAGAGATGTTTGAAACTCCCAATTACAGCCTCTCCAGTCTCTGGCTGTAATTTAGAAATCCTGGATCTGTGCCTTCAACGATGAATGGCAAAGCTGAATAGAATGAAGTCATCATCACACTCTTTGGTCCAACTCATGACGTCCAGCTAATACACCCTAACAAAGAATGTATGGCTATCTAATAGTCAGTGAAAAGGGCAACACAGTACAACAGTAATTAGTGATTAGGCCCAATGGGAATGACACTGTCCATCTTTGGCTGTCACAGGGAGGAACAAATGTTCCTGTATGTCATCAGACATGTCAAGTCAAGCTTATGTAACAAAGCACTGAGATGTGCCAAGGTTCCTGTTGGTAGGCCCAGGCTAGTTGAGTGTAAGTTATTTAAACTGGAGTCCTTTCAGTATACCCAAAAAACCTCTAACTCATTATCCTGGTTCACATAAACATATCAAAAGCAAAAACAGAGGCCAAGAGGGGAAGTAAAGAAGCATCCTGTGGTTCACGTCGCTACTACGTTTGTTGAATTGTTTGTTATTGCCTTTTACATAACTGAGACTGTGTTGGTTCTGTATTGGATATCTGGAGATCCTGTGATGAAACCAGGCCTGACAGCTGAAGCAACTGTACCTTGTTTTCGGATGTTGGCATTCCATCAGATTGCATGATGTTAGGAGAAGAGGAAACAAAGTGTTGACTGACTACTCCTGAGAAAAACCCTAGAGACAGTGAGATCCCAAACAGGCCATGAAACTGGCTCTCAGAGGCTCCCACATCCTGCACAGCACGAAGAGTGATATACAAACTTAAGACGAGAGAAAAACACATTGGCTCTGGCAGTTCTGTCATTTGATTATGTGATGAAAACAGTCTGTACAATATGCAATTATAAACTTTATTGAAACTCTATTTATAAATGGACAAAAAGTATTAACTAATCTACATAAACATTTACATGTACAGTGGGGAAAAAAAGTATTTAGTCAGCCACCAATTGTGCAAGTTCTCCCACTTAAAAAGATGAGAGAGGCCTGTAATTTTCATCATAGGTACACGTCAACTATGACAGACAAAATGAGGGAAAAAAATCCAGAAAATCACATTGTAGGATTTTTTATGAATTTATTTGCAAATTATGGTGGAAAATAAGTATTTGGTCAATAACAAAAGTTTCTCAATACTTTGTTATATACCCTTTGTTGGCAATGACACAGGTCAAACGTTTTCTGTAAGTCTTCACAAGGTTTTCACACACTGTTGCTGGTATTTTGGCCCATTCCTCCATGCAGATCTCCTCTAGAGCAGTGATGTTTTGGGGCGGTCGCTGGGCAACACGGACTTTCAACTCCCTCCAAAGATTTTCTATGGGGTTGAGATCTGGAGACTGGCTAGGCCACTCCAGGACCTTGAAATGCTTCTTACGAAGCCACTCCTTCGTTGCCCGGGTGGTGTGTTTGGGATCATTGTCATGCTGAAAGACCCAGCCACGTTTCATCTTCAATGCCCTTGCTGATGGAAGGAGGTTTTCACTCAAAATCTCACGATACATGGCCCCATTCATTCTTTCCTTTACACGGATCAGTCGACCTGGTCCCTTTGCAGAAAAACAGCCCCAAAGCATGATGTTTCCACCCCATGCTTCACAGTAGGCATGGTGTTCTTTGTCCTCCAAACACGACGAGTTGAGTTTTTACCAAAAAGTTCTATTTTGGTTTCATATGACATTCTCTTTATCCTCTTCTGGATCATCCAAATGCACTCTAGCAAACTTCAGACGGGCCTGGACATGTACTGCCTTAAGCAGGGGGACACGTCTGGCACTGCAGGATTTGAGTCCATGGCGGCGTAGTGTGTTACTGATGGTAGGCTTTGTTACTTTGGTCCCAGCTCTCTGCGGGTCATTCACTAGGTCCCCCCGTGTGGTTCTGGGATTTTTGCTCACCGTTCTTGTGATCATTTTGACCCCACGGTGTGAGATCTTGCGTGGAGCCCCAGATCGAGGGAGATTATCAGTGGTCTTGTATGTCTTCCATTTCCTAATAATTGCTCCCACAGTTGATTTCTTCAAACCAAGCTGCTTACCTATTGCAGATTCAGTCTTCCCAGCCTGGTGCAGGTCTACAATGTTGTTTCTGGTGTCCTTTGACAGCTCTTTGGTCTTGGCCATAGTGGAGTTTGGAGTGTGACTGTTTGAGGTTGTGGACAGGTGTCTTTTATACTGATAACAAGTTCAAACAGGTGCCATTAATACAGGTAACGAGTGGAGGACAGAGGAGCCTCTTAAAGAAGAAGTTACAGGTCTGTGAGAGCCAGAAATCTTGCTTGTTTGTAGGTGACCAAATACTTATTTTCCACCATAATTTGCGAATAAATTCATAAAAAATCCTACAATGTGATTTTCTGGAGAAAAAAAATCTCAATTTGTCTGTCATAGTTGACGTGTACCTATGATGAAAATTACAGGCCTCTCTCATCTTTTTAAGTGGGAGAACTTGCACAATTGGTGGCTGACTAAATACTTTTTTCCCCCACTGTATGTCTTTAATAAACATGAAATGAATATGTGACAATTCATTGCTTCTCCAAAATTATTCTTAAATAAGGATCAAATTGTACAGTACACATGATTGAACCAACAACACACATAACATACCGCAAACACACATACCTGAGTAATCTGTAAGTCGCTCTGGATAAGAGCGTCTGCTAAATGAATAAAAATAAATAAATAATCATCATTTTAAAAAGTAGGACGATCCAAAACTAGACGGTGCCTGTGGTAGTCCCTCATCAAACATGGTGGCGTAAGAGTTTTTGAGGAAGTCTACGTAGTTCTGAATGCTCTGTTTGTGGCTTTCTGACTGGTCCAGGCTGAGCTGCAGGTCCTTTAGACGCACCTCAAACTGCTTCTCAGCCTGCAGAGCAACACAACCAATCAATCTCTTTATTGACATTTGTAGTGCAGTTAGGGTAAAACAAAAATCGGATAAAATATGCTCATTCACATAGGACAATAAGGCTTCACGCTCAAACTCAAAACAACAGTTATTACTCTAAACACTTTCAACATTATTTAATTCACCAAGGAATTCAATCCATTGACCTGACAAATGTACAGTGCATTCAGAAAGTATTTACACCCCTTGATATTTTTCCACTTTGTTACATTATAGCCTTATTCTAAAATTGATTAAATCACCCGCTCTGAAGCGATCTGGAGCAGGTTTTCATCAAGGATCTCTCTGTACTTTGCTCTGTTAATCTTTCCCTCGATCTTGACTAGTCTCCCAGTCCCTGCCGCTGAAAAACATCCCCACAGCATGATGCTGCCACCACCATGCTTCACCGTAGGGATGGTGCCAGGTTTCCTCCAGATGTGACACTTGGCATTCAGGCCAAAGAGTTCAATCTTGGTTTCATCAGACCAGAGAATCTTGTTTCTCATGGTCTGAGAGTCCTTTAGGTGCCTTTTGGCAAACTCCAAGCGGGCTGTCATGTGCCTTTTACTGAGGAGTGGCTTCCGTCTGGCCACTCTACCATAAAGGCCTCATTGGTGGAGTTCTGCAGAGATGGTGGTCCTTCTGGAAGGTTCTCCCATCTCCACAGAGGAACTCTGGAGCTCTGTCAGAGTGACCATCAGGTTCTTGGTCACCTCCCTGACCAAGGCCCTTCTCCCCCGATTGCTCATTTTGGCCGGGTGGACAGCTTCTTGGTGGTCTTGGTGGTTCCAAACTTCTTCCTTTTAAGAATGATGGAGGCTACTGTGTTGTAGGGGACCTTCAATGCTTCCCCAGATCTGTGCCTCGACACAACCCTGTCCCGGAGCTCTACAGACAATTCGTTTGACCTCATGGCTTGGTTTTTGCTCTGACATGCACTGTCAACTGTGGGACCTTATATAGACAGGTGTGTGCCTTTCCAAATCATGTCCAATCAATTGAATTTACCACAGGTTGACTCCAATCAAGTTGTAGAAACATCTCAAGGATGATCAACGGAAACAGTTTGAACCTGAGCTCAATTTCGAGTCTCATAGCGAAGGGTCTAAATACTTATGTAAATATGGTATTGATGTTTTTAATTTAAAATAAATTAGCAAAAAAAACAGTTTTCGCTTTGTCATTATGGGGTATTGTGTGTAGATTGATAAGGATATTTTTTTATTCAATCCATTTTAGAATAAGGCTGTACCGCAATAAAATGTGGAAAAAGTCAAGGGGTCTGAAAACGTTCCAAATGCACTGTTTTACAGTGCCAGTGGCGACCCGTCATTCAAGGCAAGTAGGGCTGAGCCCCACCTGTTTAGCTGAATACTTTCCGAATGCACTGTATGTACTACTATGCTTTAAAATAAAAAATGGTCTGACTCATTGGGTATTGTATGGCATCAAAAAGTACTGTACTGTGTTCTCATTAGCTTTGAGGGATATGGGGGAAAATGTCACATGGTTTGCAGTAGGCAATCGTAGCTACAGTGCCTTCAGAAAGTATTCATACCCCTTGATTTAGTCCACATTTTGTTGTCTTACAGCCTGAATTCAAAATGGATTAAATAAATTAAAAACTCACCAATATACACACAATACCCTATAATGACAAAGTGAAAACATTTTTAGAAATGTTAGCAAATGTATTCAAAATGAAATACAGAAATATCACATTTACATAAGTATTCACACCCGAGTCAATACTTTGTTATTCTTCAAGCTCTGTCAAATTGGTTGTTGATCATTGCTAGAGAACCATTTTCAGGTCTTGCCATAGATTTTCAAGTAGATTTAAGTCAAAACTGCAACTCGGCCACTCAGGAACATTCACTGTCTTCTTGGTAAGCAACTCCAGTGTAGATTTGGCTTTGCTGGAAGGTGAATTCACCTCCCAGTGTCTGGTGGAAAGCAGACTGAACCAGGTTTTCCTCCAGGATTTGCCTGTGCTTAGCTCCATTACATTTATTTTTATCCTGAAAAACTCCCCAGTCCTTAATGCTTGCAATACCCATAACATGATGCAGCCACCACTATGCTTGAAAATATGGAGAGTGGTATTCAGTAATGTGTTGTATTGGATTTGCCACTAACATGACACTTTGTGTTCAAGACAAAAAGTGTATAGCTTTGCCACCATTTTTTGCAGTATTACTTTAGTGCCTTGTTGCAAACAGGATGCATGTTTTGGAATATTTTTATTCTGTACAGGCTTCCTTCTTTTCACTCTGTCAATTAGGTTAGTATTGTGGAGTAACTACAATGTTGTTGATCCATCCTCAGGTTTCTCCTATCACAGCCATTAAACTCCAACTGTTTTAAAGTCGCCTCATGGTGAAATTCCTGAGCGATTTCCTTTCTCTCTGGCAACTGAGTTAGGATGGAAGCCTGCATCTTTGTAGTGACTGGGTGTATTGATACACCATCCAAAGTGTAATTAATAACTTCACCATGCTCAAAGGGATATTCAATGTCTGTTTTTATTTTATTTTGACCAATCTACCAATAGGTGCCCTTCTTTGCGAGGCATTGGAAAGCCTCCCTGGTCTTTGTGGTTGAATCTGTGTTTGAAATTCACTGCTCAACTGAGGGACCTTACAGATAAATTGTATGTGTGGGGTACAGAGATGATGTAGTCATTCCAAAATAATGTTAAACACCATTATTACACACAGAGTGAGTCCATGCAACTTATTATGTGACTTGTTAAGCACATTTCTACTCCTGTCATAAAAAAGCTGTTCAATACTTAGACTCAAGACATTTCAGCTTTTCATCTTTTATTAATTAGTACACATTTCTAAAAATATAATTCCATTGACATTATGGGGTATTGTGTGTAGGCCAGTCACAACAATTAATTAATTCAATATTAAATTCAGGCTGTAACACAACAAAATGTTGAAAAAGTCAAGGGGTGTGAATACTTTCTGAAGGCACTATGTGATTGTGTCTGGTACTTACTGACTGCTTGCTTTGTTTCATCTGTTTCAGCTCATTCTCTCTCCTGCTCTTCTCAGCTTCCAGCTCCAGGATTTTGGTCTGAAGGGAACTTTCTCTGGAGATGGCTTTGTCTTTTACTTTGGAAACCTTGGCATGAAAGAAATATAAAGATGAATAAAGATGAAACCACACCCTCGACAGCAACTAATCTCCTAAAAAACACCATCTTCAATTCGCTTCTGTGCCTTTCCATTCCCTTCTGGGAACATTGGTTCCACTTAATATATACCTTTATTCTGAGCATTTGAATTTGCTTCTATATACATACAACAGATTTGAATAAAAACATATGCTGAGTGTATGAGCATTAAATACTGTCCACATCCACACATTATATCCTATCCAGGAGCCATCATACAGTACCCAGGGGTTAAAGCAAAAAATTAATCACATGACTGAAACAGGTTAATCTCAGATCCATTGTCTGGGGCCAGGTTAACCTCCCCTTTCATGTAAAACTAAATAAAAGTAATGACCATCATGCTTTTAAGGAAAGAGGATCATTTTTGACATGTTTTAAACTGCAAGTTTGACCAATTCCAGTCCTTATATGACGAAAATCCGTCGCAGTGATGGAGAACTTTAACCCGAGTACCTGTTGCCTGACATCGGCCACTGCTGCCTCCAGTTGTCTGTTGAGAGCCTGGCAGTCTGCTGAGCGCTGTTCTAGCTGCCTGCTGCTATAGTGTAGTGCCTCCTCCTGCCCTGCCAGCCTACGGACCAGCTCCTGGTTCTCCCCATGAAGCTCCTCCATCTGCCTGGAATACATCATTAGCAATACATAAGGAACACATTCATAACACATTCGTAACCCATACATATAAGTCATAAGCAGTACATTAACATTTCAGAACATTTCAGAATTCACCCAGGTCAGGCTTAAAAACATATTAAAAACAATACAATATGTCTTCAATGTCACTAATTGAAAACCAAAAAGCAAATGGAAGAATGTATTAATTCTTTCAAAGAAGAGAAAGTAATAATCTTACTTTTGAAGAGCATCCATTTTCTGCTGTAGCTGTGAGTTGGCCTCGTGGATAGACTCTTTCATGTCCACCGATGATCTCATCTTCTCCCCTTGTCTCTCCACCTGGATGCACAATAATCATACATTCAGAATTGTGGTTGGGAAAAAATGTAGTTGGACTGTGACTGAATGATATCATAGATGCTGAACGTATGTTCAGTTTAATAGTATTGACTATGGGGACATGAATGAGGGTTTAAGCACATAGAGTACAATACCACAAAGAGTTCTACCATGGAATTACTGGAATTACATTGGCTTATCAAGTTATCAACACAGCACACAACACTGTACAATGATGATATGAGCAACATTCAAAGGCAAGCATTGATTGAACAGGGCTGAAACATTAAACAGAAACACAGTTTAAACAGTTTAAGGTGGTCATCAAGGCTTTACAAACACAGAAACTACAAAAGGGGCACATAGGGTTGCGACCTAACTTTATTTTACTGCACTCCAAGTACATCCAATCACAAACCTTACTTGCCCATCTACAGATTACATATTGTCTTACTGCTAGATGCACACCTTAACCTGCAGTTGTCTAATGGCCTCTGCCTTGTCTGCACATCTCTTCTCGGAGCGCTTCAGGTTGTCCTGGCACTCCGCCAGACTCTGCTCCGTGGTGCTCAGTAACTCGGGGTACTCTTCCAGTTCCTTCACGCGCCCCTCCAGCTCCAGCCTCACCTGGGGTCCGGGGGAGGGGCGTGCAGGCCGGCAAGGCAGGGGGGTCAGAGAAATGTTAATGACTGATTGGCTGCACCTCTCTGAGTAGCTTTCACCGACTGGACCTTGACTGGTAACTGAAGCATAGGTAAAGCATGCGGAAGCAGGGCATGGCCATTCACCATTTTTTCTCAGAGAGAATCTTTGGAAGGCTTTCAGCAAAATGAGGTTAAATCAGAAGCAGCAGTTAAGTTCCAGTCCTGTTAAACTGACGTGTCGATAGGTGTACCATAGTTAGGATGCAGACTTGGGAACCTTAGTGATCACTGAATTCTAAATGACAGCATACGTTGGTTTTCACACCGAGGATAAATGTGAAGCTGTAAACAGTGCACTTTGAAATGATTAACAGCACAGGCAAAGCCTTTAAGAACCAATACAGTGGGTACCAGAAAGAGACAAATACAAATGTTAGTAAACAAATATCAAACACACAGGATATCACATTCATTTAAATTTCACTAAACCAAGTAGTGTTTGTGTCTCAAACTATTTCAAGAATTTGATATTCTTACACATGTTGAGTGGGCTCTCTCTTGCTTCAATTTTGAAGGACGCAAAACCAATTTAAAGAGATACTTCGGGATTTTGGCAATGAGGCCCCTTAGCTACTTCCCTAGAGTCAGATGAACTTGTAGATACCATTTTTATGTCTCTGTGTACAGTATGAAAGAAGTTAGAGGTAGTTTTGAGAGCCAATGCTAACTAGCATTAGCGCAATGACTGGAAGTCTATGGGTATCTACTAGCATGCTAGCTCATCGCCAAAATCCAGAATTATCCCTTTAAGACAAAGCTCTTTACACTGAATGTAGCCAACAGAAGACTTTACCTTCTCTACTTCTGCATCTCTTCCTTCTCTGATGTGCTCTGCTTCCCTCAGAAAACTCTCCAACTTTATTTTCAGATCATCCACCTCCATTTGAAGCTCTGCCGCCTGAGAGATGTGCGATAAGAGGTTAATAAAACAGACAGCTGCTGCCTTACCTTTTAGTCTCGCAATACATTTGTATAGGATTAGTGAGTACGGGAACTTGGATATGTGGTGGGGTGTGGGATCCCTACCTGACTCTGATACTGTTCTGATTGGTCTTTCCTCTCCTGCGAGACGGTGCTCTCCTCTTTTAGCGCTGCTTCAGAATGGACTAGCTGCAGCTCCAGCTCAACGATAGACGCCTGGAACCAGAGATAAATACACAAATGTGATCCTGAACATGGTGGGAACAAGCCACATACTAATAATCATACATACACTCCCCTCCATGTGTATTTGGACAGTGAAGCTAACATTTTTAATGTGGCTCTGGGCTCCAGCATTTTAGATTTGAGATCAGGCGACAGTAGAGAATCTCACCTTTTATTTGTGGGTATTTTCATACATATCTGTTTTACTGCTTAGAAATGGAAGCACTTTATGTATCTAGTCCCCCCATTTGAAGAAGTCATAAGTATTTGGACAAATTCCCTTTTGTGTATTAAAGTGGTCAGAAGTTTAGTATTTGGTCCGATATTCCTACCACACAATGACTATATCAAGCTTGTGACTCTGTTGTCGTTGTGCTTTAGATCATGTTTTGCCCAATAGGAGCTGAATGATGAGTCATTTTCTTTCTAAGTGAGTAGATAAGATGTTTCTGAACACATGTAAATTAATCCTGATAATGCCATGATTAAGAAAAATCATGAATGAATCATGAATAATGATGAGTGAGAAGGTTACAAAGGCTACAATAAAACATGTTAACTTCTCATCATTACCAATAACAGGGCAGGTTAGCATTTTCAGGGGGTATGATATTTGCACCACTGTACACCTTACTACTCATTATTCATGATTATCCATGATCATAGTAGCATGCACATTAATGTAGAAGTGTTCAGAAACATCTTCTATTCTTACTTTCACCATTCAGTTCCTATTGAGGGAAAAATAATCCGAAACACAACCAAAACCAAACCGCAAATGCATGCAACAAGTTTGTAGTCACAAGCCTGATATAGTCATTGAGTGCAAGGAATATGGGACCAAATACTAAACGTTTTACTACTTTAATACACTATATATGAATTTGTCCAAATACTTAGGACTTCTTCAAATGGGTGGACTAGATATATAAAGTGTTTTCATTTCTAAACGGTAAAACATATATGAAAAAACCCTCAAATAAAAAGGTGAGATTCTGTACTGTCGCCTCATATGAAACATTTGATCTCAAATCCTAAATGCTGGAGTATAGAGCCAAATGTAAAATGTTAGCTTCACTGTCCAAATACATATGGAGGGGAGTATATAAACATATCATCCTGTATTAAGGTGGGAATAAATTATACATGCTAGAATATACAGAAAAGGTACACAAATTAAAAAGCAGTAGAGCTAGGTTTGTTATATAAGCAATTTACAGATGTAGTAGTTTAGATAATTTGTGGCTACTCTATGGTTCAAGGTAAAGTTTTAGTCAAACAGGGTAAATCAATAGTTTTTGGTTGGTGCACACACAACTTAAAGGTCTATATTGATGTTTAATTTTCCTACCTTTAGGGTTGCGTTCTCAAGGCCAATGTCTCCGTTTTCAGCGTTTAGTTTTTCCACTTTTAGCAGTAAGACCTCATTTGCAGCAGTGAATTCCTCCCTCTCTTTCTGTAGCTTTGCAGTAACGTCTGCTATTTGGCTGTAATGAAACATCAATAAGCAATTGCCACTTGCCCACAAATCTGAAAAGCTTAAAAATGAAAGAACACAATTTATTGCCTCAAAGACCTAGATTAACAATATGCCAGACTTTTTGTGTCGAGGTCAAAATGTGAAATGACATACCCTTTCAGTAGTCCTATCTGTGCATCAAGTAGAAGTCTCGCATTTGTCTTCTGCTCCTGTTGTCTCTTCCACGTGTCCCTCTCTGAACAAGCCTCCGCCAGCTGAACATCCTATATGTCATCATGCCACATAACATAAATCAGTTTACTGTCAGTGGCAAGAAACTCACCAACAACAGGATACCTGGGTCCTGTTCAGTAGGGAACACCGTAGCAAAAGTAAAATAAAGCCTTTAATCTTCATTTTTAGTATGGAACCGTTAGCCGAAAATACACTGAGTGTATAAAACATTAGGAACTCTGCTCTTTCCATGACATAGACTGCCCAGGTGAATCCAGGTGAAAGCTATGATCCCTTATTGATGTCACCTGTTAAATCCACTTCAATCAGTGTAGATGAAGGGGAGGACACAGGTTAAAGAAGGATTTTTAAGCCTAGAGACATGGATTGTGTATGTGTGCCATTCAGAGGGTGAATGGGCAAGCCAAAATATTTAAGTGCCTTTGAACGGGGTATGGTAGTAGGTGCCAGGCGCACCGGTTTGAGTGTGTCAAGAACGGCAACGCAGCTTGGTTTTCAAGCTCAACAGTTTCCATGTGTATCAAGAATGGTCCACCACCCAAAGGACATCCAGCCAACTTGACACAACTGTGGGAAGCATTGGAGTCAACATGGGCCAGCATCCCTGTGAAACGCTTTTGACACCTTATAGAGCCCCGACGAATTGAGGCTGTTCTGAGGGCAAAAGGGGGTGCAACTCAATATTAGGAAGGTGTTCCTAATGTTTTGTACACTCAGTGTATAACAAACAATCAGAAACGACAAGGTCTACAGATCGATCAGGAAGAACACAACTTAGCAAATCAAGTCAAATTGTATTTATTACATGCGCCGAATACAACAGGTGTAGACCTTACAGTGAAATGCTTACTTACAAGCCCTTAACCAACAATGCAGTTTTAAGAAAAATACGTGTTAAGAAAGTATTTACAAAATAAACTGAAGTAAAAAATAAAATAAAATGTACGCAGACGATGTGATTCTCTACTTAACAAACATACCAGTCAGTTCCCGCCACTATGGATGAAATACAAAGTGTCGTATCTGGGTACAAACTAAATACAGGGAAATCAGACACAATGACGGTAGGTCAACCAATATCCCAAGACATCAAAACTAAGTTTAAACTTAAATGGGATCAAAATAAACTGAAATACTTAGGGATTACTATCCCCCAAGATCTGATGACACTACATCAGTATAACTTTGGAACACTGGAAAACCAGCTTAAACAGGGCCTACAAAGATAAAATAACAGGAAGAATTGAAACAATTAAAATGAAATGTTCTCCCAAGATTTGTACTCCTGTTCCAGAATCGACCAATAACTATTAGTCCAAATAATTTTTGAACAGTGGGACACAGGCCTGAGTAAATTCATCTGGAGAGGAAGAAAAGCCAGTGTCAAACGTAAAACAATCAAACAACGTAAACAAGCAGCGGGACTAGGCCGCCCAACTAAAATCAATTATTGTATGGATGAACCCAGCATCAACCACTAAATGGAGACAGATGGACAAAACCAATAAGTACTACTATTTTTAGGAAGACAATCAAACACACACTAGGAAGATCAAAAAATACCTGTATAAATAACATAAAGGTCTGGACAAAGATCACCAAAACAAAAAGCATCCAAACAGACTTGATCTACCTGCGAGAAATTGGAATGGACGGAGACTTTAAGCCAAGTACGATTGGTGATACATTTAAAATTATGGGCTGAAAAAAGACTGACCAGGTATCATCAGATGTTCACAGATAAGGGGATAGATATATTTGAGAATCTATCAAAAAAAATACAACCTTCAGAACTCTGTTTTACAATCATTTACAAGTAAGAAGTTATCTTACTAAAGCAGTAGGACCTAATAAAACGCTTAATGATATCCATCCTTTAATTAGATATATAGCAAAGACATCTAACAAGGTAAATGCCAAGAATGTGCTGGGGCACATATACAGAATGATTGAAGAAGAAACTAAATATGAGAATATTATAGTGGTAACCAATTGAAAAGACAAGGTGCAAATAGTAATAACCCCAGAGGACTGGGAGGACATATCTAGAAGAACAACTAACTCTCTACTCTGGAGGGATACTCTTGGAAAATTCAGTCAAGATGTTTCGTAACTCCTATAATACAACAACAATACAACCGTGACATCACACCAAATTGCTGGCGTAACTGTGGGGAGAGCAGGGCTAACCACACCCATATACTATATTCCTGCCCAGTCCTCAGTCATTTCTGGACCGAAGTATACAACGTATTGGATGATACGCTTGAATGCTCACTTTCTCTAAATCCAGAACACATGTTCCTAGGGAGAACCCCTCATGCACTGGTCCTTGAATCTGATAAGTACCTTTTCAGAATTCTGAGAATAACAGCACTTAAACAAATCCCTAGATACTGGCTTAAACCGCTGGCACCACAAATAAGCAATTGGAAAGAAACAATTAATTAAATCTATAGTATGGAAAATGATAACTCATAGAATAAGAAACCAAATGACTATTTGAGATATGATGGGGAAAAAGTATAAAAAAACAGACATTATATTGTGAAATATTTATAGGCCCTAACAGGAGATAAAATGTACATGTTTTAAACAGACGGGTGTGGGTGGACACGTGTGTGTGAATTGGTGCATGTATGCGAGTGTAGAAGTGCAAATGTGTGTACGCATGAGGGGGTACGCGTCTGTGTGTGTGTACCATTATATTGTTTTATGAAATGCTGATTATTGGCCTGTTTAGGTTAATTATTTCCTTTTCAGAATCTTGTTGTGATCTAAAACCAATAAATAAAAAGTATTTAAAAAAATACAATTAAAAAAGCTGTGGTATTATTGGACAAGTTCATGTAGTATCTCCCCGTTTCAAAACATGTTCTCCATACTGAACAAAACTCTGGTGAAGAGAATCTAAGTTGAGGAGAAAATGGTGACCGAGAAACTGATTCCCAACATTACCCACACATACCTTCTCCCTCAGCTGAGTATAACATTTATCCACAGCAGCTTCGAACCTCTCGGCCCTCTGTTTTTGGGCACGGGTGGCCTTCTTCAGGGCCTCTTTCTCCTGTTCTGCCTTCTCAGAGACACTAGAGATCTCCCTCCTCAGACCATCTATCTCCAGCTTCTGCTCAGTCAGCTGCCTCTCCAAACCCTGGGAGAAAGAAAGAGAGGGAACACACACTGACTGTTTAAACTTTCAACATATCTACAGTTGAAGTCTGAAGTTTACATACACATAGGTTGGAGTCATAAAAACTTGTTTTTCAACCACTCCACAAATTTCTTGTTAAGAAACTATAGTTTTGGCATGACACAAGTAATTTTCCAACAATTGTTTACAGACAGATTATTTCACTTATAATTCACTGTATCACAATTCCAGTGGGTCAGAAGTTTACATACACTATGTTGACTGTGCCTTTAAACAGCTTGGAAAATTCCAGAAAATGATGTCATGGCTTTAGAAGCTTCTGATAAGCTAATTGACATCATGAGTCAATTGAAGGTGTACCTGTGGATGTAATTCAAGGCCTACCTTCAAATGCAGTGCCACTTTGCTTGACATCATGGGAAAATCAAAAGAAAGACCTCAGAAAAAGAATTGTAGACCTCCACAAGTCTGGTTCATCCTTGGGAGCAATTTCCAAACGCCTGAAGGTACCACGTTCATCTGTACAAACAATAGTATGCAAGTATAAACACCATGGGACCACGCAGCCGTCATACCGCTCAGGAAGGAGACACGTTCTGTCTCCTAGAGAGGAACGTACTTTAGTGTGAAAAGTGCAAATCAATCCCAGAACAACAGCAAAGGACTTTGTGAAGATGCTGGAGGAAACAAGTACAAAAGTATCTATAGCCACAGTAAAACGAGTCCTATTTCGACATAACCTGAAAGGCCGCTCAGCAAGGAAGAAGCCACTGCTCCAAAACGGCCATAAAAAAGCCAGACTACGGTTTGCAACTGCACATGGGGACAAAGATCGTACTTTTTGGAGAAATGTCCTCTGGTCTGATGAAACAAAAATAGAACTGTTTGGCCATAATGACCATCAGTATGTTTGGAGGAAAAAGGGGGTCGCTTGCAAGCCGAAGAACACCATCCCAACCGTGAAGCATGGGGGTGGCAGCATCATGCTGTGGGGGTGCTTTGCTGCAGGAGGGAGTGGTGCACTTCACAAAATAGATGGCATCATGAGGAAGGAAGATTATGTGGATATATTGAAGCAACATCTCAAGACATCAGTCAGGAAGTTAAAGCTTGGTCGCAAATGGGTCTTCCAAATGGACAATGACCCCAAGCATACTTCCAAAGTTGTGGCAAAATGGCTTAAGGACAACAAAGTCAAGGTATTGGAGTGGCCATCACAAAGCCCTGACCTCAATCCTATAGCAATCTGTGGGCAGAACTGAAAAAGCGTGTGCGAGCAAGGACGCCTACAAATCTGACACAGTTACACCAGCTCTGTCAGGAGGAATGGACCAAAATTCACCCAGCTTATTGTGGGAAGCTTGTGGAAGGCTACCCGAAACATTTGACCCAAGTTAAACAATTTAAAGGCAATGCTACCAAACACTAATTGAGTGTATGTAAACTTCTGACCCACCGGGAATGTGATGAAAGAAATAAAAGCTTAAATAAATAATTCTCTCTACAATTATTCTGACATTTCACATTCTTAAAATAAAGTGGTGATCCTAACTGACCTAAGACAGGGAATTTTTACTAGGATTAAATGTCAGGAATTGTGAAAAACTGAGTTTAAACGTATTTGGCTAAGGTGTATGTAAACTTCTGACTTCAACTGTACATACTTATCTCTAGCCTGGTGAAAACAAATAGGATTTCACTCATGGACGACGTCCATCTTGGATGGGTTGTAGAAGATTATTGCCCACTATTCTTTGTGAAACAGAAATGTCTACTTTTTGCTGTCTTTCTTCCCAACCGTCCCATACATCACACACACAGGCTGGAAGCATAATACTGACTGCAAACTGTGTCCTTTACTTTATCCGTCTTATTCTACAGAGAGAATGGCTAGGGCTTAGAAATACACATTTTCCAACTCTGACAATATAGTGATTGATTGACTGACTGATAGACTGATGCCTGAACTTGTGTGTTACCCGGAGCTGCACGGTGAGACGGTTGTTGTCGGCCTCCTTGCTGTGTAGCTGGCCCTGCAGGTGAGCGCGCGTGGTCTCCACAGACTTGGTGGCATGGACCGCATTCTCTGTGTTCTCCTGTGGCGCATCAAAGCAGAACGAGATGGTGTGAGGACACTGCTTTCATACAGTATGATTTATACCTTTAAACCTTTAATACAATATGTTTTATCATGTACAAATTGTGGTCATCTCTTATGTACAGTCACATCCAAAATGATTGGCACCCTTGATAAAGATGAGCAAAAAACACCATATGAAATAAATACAAATACTGAGATATATATTGTATGCTCAAATAACATTTGTCTTATTTACATTAATGCAATTGCTTGTGAGGATAAGGGCAGTTGGCCTTTTTCTATGTCTTATGAGATTGTAGAACACATTGGGAGGGATCTTAGACCAACCATTCCTTCATATAGAATCTTTCCAGTTCCTTGATATCCTTCAGTCTGCGCTTATGAACTGCCTTCTTCAATTCAAATCACAGGTTTTCAATGGGGTTCAAGTAAGGAAAATGAAAATGGCCATTGCAAAATGTTGATTTTGTGGTAAATTAACTATTTCTTTGTGGATTTTCATGTGTGCTTGGGGTCATATTGTCTTGCTGTAAGATACACTTGCGGCCAAGTTTCAGCCTCCTGGCAGAGGGAACCAGGTTTTTGGCTAAAATGTCCTTCTACTTGGTAGAGTTCATGATGCCATTGACAAGGGCCCCAGAACCATTGGAAGCAAAACAGCCATATAACATCAAAGATCCACCACCATATTTTACAGTAGGTATGAGGTTATTTTCTGAATATGCATCCTTCTTTAGAGGCCAAACCCACCACTGGTGTTCGAGGCCAAAGAGCTTTATTTTAGTCTCATCTGACCATAGCACATGGTTCCAATCCATGTGCCAATGACGTTTAGCAAACTCCAGGTGTTTACATTTGTTGGTTGCTCTCAATTAAGGCTATTTGTATGGCAACCCTTCTAAACAGACTATTGGCATGGAGGTGGTGTCTAATTGTAGATTTGGAGACTTCGTGACCCCAAATCTCCAACTGTGGCCCTTGGACTTCTTTTGCCTCTCGAACCATCTTCCCCACTGTGCGTGGGGATAAGATACACTTGGGTCCTCTAGAAGGCAAGTTTACCACAGTTCCAGTGGTTTTAAACTTCTTAATTGTTGCATTAATACTGATATATTTGTTTTTTCAGTCGTTTTTTTGTACCCATTGCCTGATTTATGAAAGTCAACAATCATTTTTCTCTTTTCATTTGTAAGTTCTTTGCCTTTCCCCATGGTGATGGATGACAAATGGATTTTACATGCGTGTTACCAAATTTGTGTGAAACAGGAAACCATGAAAGGCCACAATACAGTTCATTAAGCTGAGATTGACTTAAAAATTTGAATGTTAATGCAGTTGATTATAATTATTTTTATTATATAAGAATTGTTAGGGGTGCCAATAATTTTGACACCTATCTTTTTTTGATTTGTTTTAACTTGTTAAACAAAATATATTTCTCTGAGCAATTGTATTTGTATAAAATACTAGAATTTCCCCATTTTTTGGAGCATACAATATAGCTTGGTATTTGTATCATTTATATTAAACAGTAATTTTTGCTAATCTTTATCAAGGGCGCCAATAATTTCAGATGCGACCATATTTCATGTGAAATGAAAGGCCAAAGCTTACCATTTCTTTCTTCCTCAAACCCATCAGTTCATCCACCCTTTTTTCTTTATCATTCAAATGTCTTTTCAAATGCTGGTGGAAACAAAAGAACAACAAAAACATTTGATCTTACTCACAGTACAACTGTAAAATGACAAATGTGTATAGTGAACAGGAGCAGATGCTTTTCTATCCCAAGTGTCTTACAAAGTTAGAACACAAGTTCAGTACATGTGGCCCATGCAGGACTGAATCAAATCCCCAACCTTAATGTAGCTAACACCATGTTTCAACCCATTGAGCCATCTGAACTACTGCACTGAATTACCCTACCCTCTGGGGGGCAGGTAGCCTAGCGGTTAAGAGTGTTGGGCCAGTAACCGAAAGATTGCTGGTTAGAATCCCAGAGCCGACTAGGTGAAAAATCTGTCAATGTGCCCTTGAGCAAAGCACTTAACCCTAATTGCTCCTGTAAATCGCTCTGGATAAGAGCATCTGCTAAATGACTAAAATGTAAAATGTATAATCTGCCAAGAGGAGCTTAACATATTGGCAGACCATACAGCTCTGGAGTGTCTGAAGTTCTCTTTTTTTTTACCCAAATGAGGAGCAATTTACCAGATTATCACACTCAGCCTGTGTAAGCTTCTTTAGTAAGAGATCGATGTGTTTGTCTGTCTCCATTCGAGATGCCTAATAAAAGGGAGACAAAAAGAGGTAGTCAAATCATGTTATTTCAAGCAACAGTTAAAAAGACAAAGTTGCAATAACAGTTTCCTTTAGTCCACAGGTCAGTATAATGCATTATGTTGCCGTTATAATGCATTGTAAAACTTGTCATAAGCATGACCCCCTTATAAATTGCAACCTGACAGTCATTCAAAGTAGTAGTCATTAGCCATCAGATTATAACTGGTTGATAAGACCAACCTCTGCATCCTGCAGGTCTTTGAGTTGCTGTCGAACAGACTTGTTAATCCGTTTAAAAACCTCCAACTTCTCCAGCAGAAGGCCTCTCTGCCTTGACATCCGCCGGTTATCAGAGGCAGAGTGTCTTGAGTCCTTTATAATAGAAGGATAAATTACATTCTGCTTTTGACACATTAAACATTGTTAATGAATTGAACATTTTGATATCATGTTGTACATCTCAAAATAATGACAGGTGCACTGTCAGCATATCAATTATACAGGACTTCACATACAGCAAAATCATCCTCCAGGGTCTCCTTGAATGACATGAGCTGTACGGCTGCAGAGTTGGCCGCTGATTCTGCATCCATCAATGTTTTCATCAGGGGACTTTTGTCCACGGTGGCTCCATAGTCTCCATAGCTAAGTATAACGACAAGAGAGAGAGAGAGGATTTGAAATCAGTTGGATCCACACTGAAAGCTATTTGTGGGCAAGTGTGTGTGGCCTCAATGTTTACTATCCCTTAATAAAACTGTGTCTCATGGGCCTCACCAGTTACTCTCCATCTCTGGGGTTTTGGTGTAGACACTGCTGCGTATCCTGCTCCCTCTCCCAGGCTCGGAGAAGCCGTCTAGATCATCATCTAAAGAGTCCTGGTAGGGATCCTCAGGAGACATGGCTCTCATTCGCGTGCAAGGTGGATCAGAGGACTGACTATATGGTTAGGCTTACATTAATGCTTTCCCATGACTGCTTGCCTATAATAATCCCATTCTCATTTTCTAATAAAATAAACTAGACAACTGTAATGACAAGGAAATTATGAAAAATATTGTTGGATAGACAGCATATGATAAGATTACACAGACAACATCAGTGTATAATATAATGCAAGTATAGCTAGAATTTTATTTAACTAACCGGTCTCTTACAAGGAAATTGTCCAAGACAACAACTATTTCCTCTAATAGTATGTATTGTCAGGATACAAACAGTGCGTGTTCTTTTACCATTATCTTCTAGCTGAGCTGATCCATTCTGACCTTCACTTTCAGAGTTAAAGAACAGTAGCTAGCTAGCTAGCAAGCAGAACAAGTTCAAGTTTGCTACCTAGCTAATTTGGCCAGTTAGTTAGAATCGCGAAGATGGAATGAAAATACAAACCGAATTTGCAGTAGGTAAGACACATATCCTATGATCAAGAAGTAGCTAGCTAAATTGTGTTTTTTACCTTCATTCACTACGGTGCCTTTTGTCTTGTGTTACTGCTATTCAACAGCTGATGCTCTCTGTAGGAAACGGTTGTCACTAGTTACCACAGCCACAAAGTGGCTATATCGTAAAAATGCATTAAAATAAAAATTAGCTTTTTGGTCTTAATTAAAGTTAGGGTTAGGCATACGGTTAGCAGTGTGGTTAGGGTTAGGTTTAAAATCAGATTTTAAGAAGATAAATTGTAGAAATGGGCGGGGTTTATGACTTTCTGGCTGTGGTAATTAGTGACGACCGTAGGAAACGAATGGCGTTCGTTGCACCCATTGGTTGATTTGAGTCCCGTCTATTTGTTCTGCGATTCGAGATTGGCTAAGGCATTGGACGTAACGTAAACAAACCCCACTAGAGCGTGGTTGTTGTTAGCAAACCAAATGAACCAAATGGCCGTTGGGGGTTGATTTAACCCATCCACATGGATTTTCTGTATTAAAATATTTCGAGTCAAACCGAAAGAAAGCTGTACGAGATTCAAATGCTAGTACCAAAGACAGTTTGACTACTCTGTGCTAGTACAGTGAAGTCAAATGGCATCCAAGTTTGGAGAGGCCCATAGAGGACTCATCTTTGTATCGGTGCCATTATTGAGTCTGTGACAGCATCAACGCCTTCTTCTTCTTCTTCTTCTTCTTCAGTGGGGTTTATCGGCGGTTGGCATCCAACGTTATGGTGCATTACCGCCACCTACCGGACTGAAGTGTGGGCAAGAGACAGGGATAAACTAAATCCTACCTGCTAACCCCGTTTCTCTTTAAAAAAATAAAAAAAATATTTGAGACTATATCTAATGACGCTCTACTCAATATACTCTTTAAACTAATTTCCTGTATCCCCTTCTCCCTCATACTAAATCTAATCCTCTCTCTTTCCCTTTGATACTGCCCATGCCGTAGCAATACATGCTCCACAGTCTCTATTTCCTGACAATAATCACACTTTCCTGATGGATGCTTTCCTATCACGTTTAATGTCTTATTCAACTGGCTGTGTCCCACCCTTAATCTTGTAAAAATAGCCTCCTCTCTTCTGTCCCTTCCTGCCGTCCTCCCATCCCGGACTTTCCTCTGTACTTGAAATAAATGCCTTCCCTTATTATTTATATTCCACTGCTCCTGCCATCTCTTCACCATCACTGTATATATCAGTCTTTTTGCCTCTGCCTTGCTCATTGACACTTCAACATAAACATCCCCACTACTAAGTGCTTGTTTAGCCTGTTCATCTACCGCCTCGTTCCCCTCCACCCCAACATGGGCTGGAACCCAAGTAAATCTTATCTGAATACCCATCTGTTTAATCCTGCCATGGGTTTGTAGCACCTCATAAAGCAGGTATTGTCTGCTATGTGAGCTAAAGGACTGGAGACTCATTAACACTGCGCATGAATCAGAGCAAATAACTACTCTGTCTGGCTTAGCTTCCTCCAACCCACTGCAAAGGCCCCCCAACCAGTATGGCCATCAGCTCCTCCGTATATACAGCCAGATTATCTGTAATATGTTTCCTGACTTCCACCCCACATTCCTGCACTACAAATGCTGACCCAGTACGTCCTGTCCTTGGATCTTTTGAACCATCTGTGTAAATGGCCACAAAATCCTGATACACAGTTTCCAGACGTCTCTTAAAGAAATCAGCTGGATCAACACCCTCCTTTTCTTTCTGTAGTCTCTCCAACACTTCCAGATCAACTACTGGAGACAGGAGTAGCCATGGTGGATTTACAGGAATAACTACCGTTGGACTAAACTCCCTTCCATACAGTCCCATCTCCTTCGCCTGGGTATTTTCCCACCCACCCAAAGCTCGTGTTCGGTCTTAACTCATGTTCCCAGCATGCCTGTAAAATCCCTTTCGCAGGATGAGACACCCCATGTCCTTGTAGGTTGACACAGTAATTAATTGCCAGCTGCTGTCTCCTAATCTGCAACGGCATATCCCCCATCTCCACCTATAACGCAGCCACTGGGGATGTCCGAAACGCCCCACTACATATTCTGAGTCCTTGCCCCTGTATGACAAATAGCCTTTCCAGTGAGGTCCGGGCTGCCGAACCATATGCTATACTTCCATATTCTATTACAGATTGGATCAATGCAACATACATGGTCTTCAATGAGGAACGCCCAGCCCCCCACTCCTTCCCCGTCAGACAGCGCATCACATTTAGCACCTTCTTACACTTTCCCACCAATCTCTCAATGTGTTCTGCCCAGGTCAGTCTAGTTTCAAAGTATACCCCAAGGAACCTGAAGGCCCCCACCCTCTCCAAGTTTCTCCCATATAACCTCAAGCATACCTCATCTCCCACCTTCCTCCTGGTAAAGAACACTGTTTGCGTTTTCTCTACAGAGAACCTGAATCCCCACATTAATGCCCACCGCTCTACCTCATCAATTGCTTCCTGTACCTTCCTGACTATGTATGGCACATTTCTTCCCCTCTTCCAGAAGGCACCATCATCTGCAAATAACGACCTCCCTATATCCGGCTGTACCTGAGAGTAAACATCATCGATCATGATTGAGAACAACAGAGGACTAATCACGCTCCACTGCGGTGTACCATTATCCACCAAGTATCTGCCTGATAAAGACTTCCCCACCCTCACCTGGATAGACCTTCCAAACAGGAAATCCTTTATCCAGTTGTACATTCTTCCTCCTACCCCCATAATATCAAGCTTGATTAACAACCCCTCCTTCCACATCATATCATACGCCTTCTCCACATCAAAAAAGAGAGCTACAACAGTCTCCTTGTTCACCTGAGCCTTCCTGACCTCTGCTTCTAAGCAGAGCACTGGATCCATAGTTATCCTGCCCTATCTCCATTTTGAAGTAGTCCATTTTCATCTTCACGATTGGCTGAACCATCCTGATGACCTGGTTGGACATGACTCCAACAGGGTCACCAGGAGGAATCAGCCAATGAAGTTGGAAGGCCCACCCAGTTGACTACATGAAAATGGTGGAAGCTCTCAATGATAGTCTGGGTACCAGTCTTTTTGCTAACATCCTACTCCTGTCATTTGCCAAATACCAGTCTTTTTAGCTAACATCCCACTCCTGTCATTTGCCGAAGAGAATGGCCTTCATGCAATCTCAACGTTCAATATGCAGCTGGATTTACGGTGCAGTTGCTGATTGGTAGCTGGAAATAACATTCATATTTTCCATGACAGCGTTATGGAACATAGAGTGTAAACCAAATTTGTCGCAGTATAGAATTATAATTTTAAGAACGATAACAAACAATACCGTTACGTTACCTGCTGCTGTCATTCCCTTGTGAGAAGGCAGTGTCAATGCACGATCATGTTGTTCAAAGATGCAAGAGAGGAATCCATAACGAGAGAGAGAAATACTGATATGGAAAATATTAGCCTCCAACATTCAATCGAGCTACGATTGCTTCAGTTGCATCCCATTAATGAGAGGAAAGAAACGCAAAACTGCCATTCCTCGCGCGTATGCTGATCATCATCGAATTTGTTACATTTTGTTATGCTCATTTCAGTTATATTATTTGTCCTTCCCCTCTTATTAAGAGATGGAGTCCAAACAGGCTACTTTAGGAAACGTTATATGTAGCATATCAAATGAATTGACATATTTTTTTGGGGGGAACTCAGTCGTCACCTCAACCAACAGTGTGCGACTGCATGCGGAACACCTGCCCTCGCCATCATTAACAGAACTGCGGGAAAACAGTGCCCGACAGGCAGGGGCGAAGGACACTACCGGTGTGTACTAGCTATTGTACACCTCTTAAAATATTTAAATTGAGAAAATGTGAACATAATCATTATTTTAGCGATCTACATTAGACGCCCCTCTTAGTGAAAAGGCCCCCCATCCTGCTGCTGACAGTGCACTTGCACATTTTATATGCGTTTATGGATGAGAAAGTGAATTTCCAAAAACGAGCTCAGTGGGGAATCGGGGATTCCCTGCTTTGCGATCTGTTGCCTATGTCAAAAGCCACTGTCAGCCAGGGTTTCAATAAAGGGTGACTGCACTTCATGATTTGGCCTAGTTTTAGATTTGGTTCATTAACAAATGCTAGCGGCCAGGACTGAATTCAAACGTGAGTTGGTTTCGGGGTGTAGTTTGATGTGGGGTGTCTCGTGTGTGTTCACAGGTGAGTGGCAAAGTTGGTTTGACTTTGGAAAGCCTATCTCTGGGGATAGTTAGGGACGTCAATAAATTATACAATGTAAATGGAACAAAATTGTCAGTCATTCCATTTTGGAGCTATTGACCTTTTAAAATATTGTCTCATATACATTGTGTAATTTACTGATGGTCCCTAACTAGCCCCATAGTGATATCAAATGTCAAACCAAATTGACAATGTGCATTATGATCTGGTCATGTACAGCTGAGCTCCAAATTGATGATTACTTGGGTGCTGAAAGATGTGGGCAGGATTAAAATAAACCCAACCCAAGGCAAACTGTTACGGTACCGTTCATTCCGTGACATACCATTTTTCCTACCATCTCGTAAATCTAAGTTTTGGACGAGACTGACTTTATTGCCAAAATTATCCTATTTACACTTAGGAGTACATTTTGACACTAGAATAAATGTTTCTGACACATATCGATGACACATGGGCCATTTTCTAAACGAGAAGTTGCTTTTTAGGGGCAGTCGCTTTAAACTTTGATGGCAGGGAGATGATAGCAACATATGATTCAGTGCTGTCTAATTTGAGTATAATGAAGCCTGTTTCTTTGTGAAGTTTTCTGTCCTCAGATATGGAAAGCTGTGAAATCTTGTTTGCAGATGAAGAGAGGTCTCAATGAATGTCCCAAGAGACTATGTGTATATCCTATATGCCATGGGTTATACAGTGTATTCTGAAAATATTCTGATGCCTTGACTTTTTCCACATTTTGTTACGTTACAGCCTTATTCTGTAACGTGTGCAAAGCTGTCATCAAGGCAAAGGGTGGCTACTTTGAAGAATATAAAATATTAAATATATTTTGATTTGTTTAACACTTTTTTGGTTACTACAGGATTCCATATGTGTTATTTCAT